ACAGTGGGACCGTAGCTGTGGGGCCCACATCAGTGTTCTCTACACCAACCAAATGGCCAATTTGGCACACGGCATCAGGTTTGGATGAATAAAAGTAAACCTTCCTTTAAGTTAATATCTCCATAAGCCCATTTTAGTTACCTGAAATGTTCTCTTTCCAATTACAGGGAGGCAAAGATCATGCAAGTGCAAGGTACATCTATACCCGCCTGTCTCCCATCACAAGATTCCTTTTTCCCAAGGATGATGATATCCTCCTTGACTACTTGAATGAAGATGGGCAATCCATTGAACCCACTTGGTAAGTTTTCTAAAAGATTAGGGAGGATAGGCAATTTAGATTAAAGGTCTTGCAAATGTTAATACCCTTTTTAACTTTCAGGTACATGCCAATTGTACCTATGGTTCTAGTTAATGGAAGTGAAGGAATTGGGACTGGGTGGAGCTCCTACATTCCTAACTATAACCCAAGGGACATTGTTGCAAATATAAGGCGTTTGTTGAATGGTGAACCTATGGAGGCCATGGATCCATGGTACAAAGGCTTCAGGGGATTGATTGAGAAAACTGCAACAAAGGAAGCTGGGTCCAGCTACACTGTTAGTGGGATTATTGAGGACTCAGGATGACAAGGAGTTCCTGGAGTCAATAATGACGGGGAATGATAAAATCAAGGAGCCATTTATCAAGGTAAAATTAAAATATAAATTCCTAGTCTTAAGCTAAGATGGTGGGGCTTCTGAGAGAGCTCTCAAGGCAAATCGTGTACTGCTTGCAGGATTACAGGGAGCACAACGATGACACAACAGTACACTTTGAAGTAATCCTGTCGGAGGAGAACTTGCAGGCAGCCAAGCAAGAGGGTTTGATGAAAAAGTTTAAGCTCACCACTACAATCAGCACAAGCAACATGCACCTATTTGATCCAAAAGGCGTGATTAAGAAATATGACAACCCAGAACAGAGTAAGAATCTTACATTTTACGTGGCCCAGATTTCTCTTTTCTTCCTTTTTTTTTTTTTTTTTGATTTACAATAGTGTATTCTTACGTTGACATGCACGTTTTCTCTTTTTGTCTGCACTTCTTGAGGAGTTCTTTCATTTGAGACTAGAATTTTATGAGAAGAGAAAGGTGAGTTGGTTGAAAAAAAAAAGGTTTTTTAGTTTCTTTTTTATTTTTAGAAAGATTATTGATCTCTTGTTTGAAAAAAAAATCCTGCAGAAAGTGCTATTGGACAATCTTGAATTGGATTTACTGAAACTGGATAACAAGGTCAGGTTCATCCTCGGGGTTGTGAAAGGAGAGATTATTGTCAGCAACAGGAAGAGAGCCGATCTATTCCTCGAATTGCAGCAGAAAGGTTTCACTCCATTTCCGAAGAAAACCAAGACAGTTGAGGTGGCAGTGGCTGGTGCTACTGAAGATGCAGAGGAAAATGAAGAAAACTCAGAGGTTGTCAGCAGCAAAGGTGTACGAGCCAGCGATTATGAGTATCTTCTGTCAATGGCAATTGGAACCCTGACACTGGAGAAGGTTCAGGAGCTCTGTGCGGATAGCAATAAGCTCAACCATGAAGTTGATGAGCTGAGAAAGGCAACCCCAAAGACCTTGTGGCTGAGAGACCTCGATGCACTTGAGAAGGAGCTTGATGTATGTCCTGAGATGTTTAGTTTACATTCCTGATTATGTTCTACAATCTTCTCCTTGAGATTTTCTGTTTTTCTTGTCTGATATTTTTCTCCCATAATTTAGGAACAAGACAAGAATGATGCCCAGGCAGAGGATGCAAGGAAGGAGTTGAAAAGCAGGGTGATGAGTGATGCAGGCTTGAAGGTTTCCAGACAGGCACCTAAAAATCCACGGAAGACTAATGCAAAGAAGAACAACAATTTGGAGCCAGTGGCTGAATCTGTAGCAGCATCCGTTGGTTCTGCAATGGAGACAGGTATGACTGAATAAAAATTTGAGTTAGTTTAATTTTGTAAGTTGGTCTCTCAATTCGAATCATCTCATTTCCTCTGATGCACCAGGAAACGTTGCTGAGGTGGCAAAACCCAAAGGCAGAGGTGGTCCAATGAAAGCTTCTGCTAAAAAGGTTTGATATTTTTTATCAATGATCCCAGATTTTCATGCATTTTCAACAATTTGTTTTAATTCGTTTTCTTTTTTTTGGTATTTCTTTCAGCAGGACCAGCTCGCCCTAGCTGACAGTGATGAGGATGACGAAGACGTGCTTGAGCTAAAAGAACGATTAGCTGCATATAACCTTGATTCTTCTCCTGATCAATCAGCAGGTGGACTTTCCTCATCCCATCATTTTTAATTTGGAATTTATATTTTCTTCCCAGATAGCTGTATTCTTCGCCTGACTGTTGTTTCTTTCACAGCAATGGAAACTGAAGTGGCTAAACCACCGGCGGCACGAAAGAAAGGACCAAGTAAAATGGCTGCTGCACAGAAGAAACACCCATCAAGTTACACAGAAAATTCAGATGATGATGACGTAACGATGCATACCATAGAAGAGAATATGAGAGAGAATGGAAATGACGAAGATTTTGAGCCTGAGGCGGCTGGCCCAAGAGGAGGAAAGAAAGGTGGGAGAAAGCCTGCTGCAGCCAAAGTCAAGACAGCAGCTGCTAAACCCACTGCAGCAACCAAGAAAAGAGGACCGGCAAACAAGCAGCCGTCACTGTTGAGTCAGAAGCTAATAACAGAGGTGCTGAAGCCCGTTGACAATTCTGGGGTCTCACCGGAGAAGAAAGTAAGGAAGATGAGGGCGTTCCCATTCAACAGGAAGAGTGCTTCTGTGTTGGGAAGGGTCAGTGGAAAAGTTGGGGAGGTTTCTCCAAAGCTCAGCGAAGAAGAACCAGGTTCCTCTTCTGGTTCTGCTTCCACCAATACCGAAGAGGTGAGTGAAGTGGTGGCAAGACCAAGACCACAGAGGGCGAATAGGGGGAAGGCGAGGTATGTGCTTAGCGATTCCGAGAGTGATGATGCTGAAGAAGATTCTGATTTCAACGAGGATGAAGATTAGATTAATTTGGTCGGTGTGTTGAGATCTGTTAGCTGAGACTAACTGGAAACATGGACTCGTTTCCTATTTCTACCAACTGAAGTTTCAAAGTTCAAGTGTCTGTATTTTTCAACTGAATGTTGAATATTAGAGGTTGTAATTGCAAATTGTGACACTGCATGACTATCTTGAAGTTGTGCCTGTCCAAATATCTAGTGTGGCTTTTTTCTGCATCTGCAAGAGGATTCTTCCCATTGACCTGCTCGGTTGTTCTAATGGTCTGCGTCAAAGAAATCTTGACACAGGTTGTATTTTTATCTTAATTTTTGGACAATACAGAGATCCCATTGTTTCGTTGACACTGGTTCACAAACATATGGAAAATTAACCAAAAAAAGGTTCACATATCAATTTAATATACAAAAAAGTCCCAAGTTGGAAATCTCTTTAAGCGGAAAGTAGTTTAACCAGAGCAGACATATAGGTAAGACATACGAGTAAACCAGTATACAGATGTCTATGTACTCCATAGACAAATAACCAGAAATTCAAACACAGAAGTTTATGTGATCAGGACCAACAGGTTAGTTAATATCCACAACATTTTATTTCCATGACAATAATTCAGATCCAAATAACGTTTTTTTTTTTTTTTGTTTTTATATCAATCAATTCCATGCCTAGTTAAAATGGAGGAGATCGATTCTGTTTAACAACCATCCCCTGCAAATCCATGTGAAAGAAAATTTCAATGTCAACAAAAAATCCATTCATCTAGATGAACTTCTATCTCATCAATCAAAAGAAATTGATTCAGAACGGATCACCTCTTCAAGATTCAGAACGGGCCTTGACAATAAAATTTTGGCGACGGATGGGGTTCATCACCACTGGTGGTCCTGCTGTACGAGGCCACGCCTGAAACTTCTTATCAGTTTCTTCATACCATTCCTCGCTCGCAACAGTTCTTGGCGTTGTTCCTGATTTAAGCATGAGTAGAATTAGAGTTGCTAAAACTAAAAGATGCAAAGAAAAGATGATTAAGCTTATTAAAATTCACCTCCAAGTACTTTGTTGTCAGCAACCCAAATACCCATCACGTATGCAAATGCAAAAGATCCCAACACAGACCCAACAATGTATTTTGTTGCCATTGTTTAACTGCACAGATTTAAATAATTAAATGAGATATACACGATTATATGGATGGTAAGATATGCTGATCTAAATGGAGTCTATTTCCTTGACCGTTGACCTTTTAAAATGTTATTATGACAAGAATACCCCTACATCCGTCCTCAAAGAGAAGAAACTACAGTAGTCACTACATTAAACAACTCTAACATGATAATCTAATATTCTAATGGGAGTTCACATACAGACAATTCTAACATGATAGTCTTCAGAGTTCAGAGGTATTAGACTTCAGATTTCCAAAAGCCACCTTAGTGTTGGCGTGGAGAGTGATCTCCCGGTGCCTCATTGCCTCATCTTCTCTCTAGCTTCTCTTCTCTAAAGTCCAATCTCTAATTCTTCTTAACTTCTGTTCACTTCAACTATCTTTCTTCTCGTTCCTATTCCAGTTTAGTGCTGATTTCTTCAAGACTTTTATATCTAGTACATAGATCACTAACCTTAATCTTGGTATTGCAGAGAGTGCAGACCCTGTTTCAGCCTAGAAATCCTCAAGTTCCATCTTAGAAGTTAGAACCATCATTCAAAACCTATATTTTTCAGGGATGTTAGCAAACACTGGCCTGCAGCCCTAAAGAAGCAAAGTCTAAGCCCTCTTGATATTAATTGATTTCCCTTCTAAACCCTTTAGTTTTACTTAACACACCTAACCTGTAAACTCTAGATACCGCTGCCCTCTATACCCTTTGTTTCAGGATTGTTCTACAATCTAGAGCTGTGACACAGCTGATACCAAATCCTTTAGCCATATATGGCACCATGTTATATAGCCTCTATAAAGTGGTCTAAACCCACTAGAAGCCCTTATAATATCAGTCCTAGCATCTCCTAATTAACCTTTCTACCATTACTTTGCCCTCAACCTGATCCAACCCACTGCCCCTTGCTACCACAAGTAGGAAACTCAGAGGACATGTCTCTACGTAGTCTACTCCAAATTTGGATGATGGCTTTAGAAAATCACAGACCACATGCCAAAAGAAGTCAAAATCTTAAACTATTAGTAGGTTGTATCAATTTGATCTGGTTAATGATGGTAATGTCTAGCAGTTCATACATGATACATCAGTACAAGAAATCACAATAAACAAGCTAGAGCATGAAGAAAAAAAGCCCCACAAGGCCACAACTGCATAAGCTAATTAAAGACGAAAACCAAACCAACTAAGCTCTGGCCACTCCATGGAAGCAAGGTTATTTGCAACAGTGTCATTGATCTTGGAATATGGGTGAACAAGTATGTTCAGTGATAAGCCTATATTTTTATATATTTTCATACCTCTAACTTGATGATTTTGGTAATAATGTTTTTGGAATTAGCATGGTATTGCACTAATTATGATGAAATTGTCTTGCAAGATGACTTGGAGCATAATTGTGCAATTTTAAGGAGGAATTCAATTTAATTGATCAAGATAATCATAGAGGAAGGACCATGCAGCAATGATGCTCCAGGATGTAGCCATGAAAGAGAGAATCCATTGAAATCGGATTTGATATGTATGCACAAAAAATCGGGAAATTTCCTATTTTGATATAGTTCCCGTATTTTGGGCATAACTTTCTGCCTACAACTCGGATTGAGGTGATTCAAACAGATAATTAAAGATAAGAGATATGGCTACAACTCTTGTGTTTATCACTCAACCTAATTCCACCACTAACTAAGTGCAATTCGAGCTAAAAGTTTTGGGTCTGGCAGTTGGAAGTGTAGAAGAGATAGGAATTCAACTGAGATAAGGACTAAGAGATCTAATTTGTGTTGAATTAGGAGTCTACATTGAGAAGCAATTGAGGGGGAGGCTGCACTATAAAAAGGACCATAGACTCAAGGCAAAGGGGCACATCCTTAGAGAGAATTCAATAGAAAAGAGAAGATGAAGCAGTCTCAGCACATCAGAAGAGAAGATGAAGCAATTTCAGCACGCCAGAGAGGAGAGAAAGAATCCGAATTCAAGAGGGAGAAATGCTTAGTTGCTGCACTTGTCTTCGATCTCCAAAGGCTAAAATTTTCTTGTTATTCTATTCATTCTTTGATGTGTTTTTGCTGTGTTTTCCCTTTAATTTTCTTGAGTATGTTGAATTTAATGATGTTTGGCTAAATTCTCTTAGCTAGGGTTTAGATGGATTTTGATCTTAAGATTATATAGTCAATTCAAGACCTTTATTATTTGCATGAAGAATTTTTATTGTTATGCTTAATGCTTTAAAAGAATTGGCCAATCTTTTAATGATTTGATGATTCATGCATGACTGACCAAATGATTGTTATGAATTAGATCCCTAGGCAATAAAAATCGCATGATAGACTATGATATCGAAAAATGATTAGCTCATGTGTGGGAATCAAGGAAGCTTAGTGAGTCAAATCCCCTTCTACGATTAGAGGTTTCCAAAGAAATTAATGCTTATTTTTCCTTTTGACAACCACTTAGAAATTTGATGGTAGAATTGGATATAAATGATTAATATGATTTGAGAAAGTTTATTAATAAATTTAGGGAAATCCACCATCACATGCAAATAACTTTAATATACCTTAGGGTAATTTCGGTCTTGAGTTGGATTAAATAGGTAATTATGTAACCTTGATTGAATGAAATCTAAACCCTAGTGGCATTCATCCATCAATTCAGTTTTTATTAAGTTTTTGGATTTGCATTAATTCTTTTAGTTTTTATTCATTCAATTGATTCACGAATTCAACTTAGGTTAGTTTAAAATTGATTTGGTACTATGATATAGTCTTTATGGGATTGACACTTTTCTCATCATTATACGCACATTTGACTAAGGTACATTTGCCTGAATTAACTGTGCATAAATCACACAACATTCAGCCTATATAGTCTACTAACTTGGTCTTCCTGATGAAATGAAAATTGTCCAAACGCCAGAAATTGCATATTTAAATTCACCTAATAACCCAAAGTCTACCTCGCTCCACCAAATAGTATTTGATGGTATCATCTTGAGTAGACATGTTCATGGGCCGGGCTTTGGGCCCAACTTTACACTATCTCAGGCTTGGGCTTCAGGCTGGGCCCATTAGAATTTTGACAAAAGCCAAGCCCGAGCTTGGCCCATGAACAAGTCTAATCTTGAGGAGAGATTCACTGCATATTTCTTTGGGTAAAATACAAAAACCTCCCCTGAAGTTTCTGACAATCATAAAAACCTCCCCTAGAGTTTCACTTTAGTAAAAACCTCCCCTCTATTTTTGAAAAAAATCAACAAATACCTCCCTTCCGTCATTGACCATGACGGAAAATGTTTAACCGATCATCTTTTTTTTTTAAAATACCTATTTTACCCTTTTATGAATTATTGTACACCTTTTTTTCTAAAGTACCCATGTCTATATTATATACTCTGTGCCCTCTCTTCATATCCTAGTTTCACCTTTTTCTATTTGAAGAGAGCTGAAGAGGAACGAACCCAGGAAGAATGACCGGCACAGGAAGAACGAACTTAGTTTCCCCTTCTCCACTACCTCCAAATATCACAAGTCTGTCATCGTATGACTCTCACGAGGGGAAGGTGGGGTCCCTTCACATTTGGGTTGGGTCCATTCTTCTGTTCTAAGATCCAATATATGAAGGTCATTTACCTTCTTGGAGAAATTGGTACCCCTAAAACTATCATCCTATGCCCCCACAAGTACTGCATTGTGGATGTCTTTTGCACCAGGCTGTTGACGAGTAGTTACAAGGGTGCTCTATGCCATTGTTTCAAGATTAAGCATGAGAACATCACTAAAATGCAGCCGTCAACAACAACCCTGAAACTGAAATAGGTAGAAGAAAAAAACAGTAGAAGAAATAAGAATGTAGAATGCAAATGGAAGGTGAACTTTTAGTTCTTGGTAAGGAAATCCAGATTTTCTTTGTTCCGGAATGATCCTAACTAGGTAATTTGCTAGAAAAAAAAATAGACCACAGTCGTCGTCCGGTGAATGGGAGATGACTAGGCATCAAGGATGTGGTCGTACTTTTCTGCTAGAGCTTGAGGAGCTTGAGCTGAACATACTTTTCTACAAAGGTTTCCAAAATGTGGTCATATTGGCCATGTAGAGAGCATTCAGGAGTGGTGGTGGGTGGTGGGGTTGGCAAGAGTGTTGATGGGTCAAGGTTGTCCGAGGGCAGGAGACGTTGCTGCTGTTGGGTTTTCTTTCGCTACTGTTGTTGCAGTTTGAGTTGTTTCTCCTTGAAGACTTCCCACCACTTGCCAAGGCGCTTGGCGGTGCAACTGGGGATTTTGGAGGTGATTTTCTTCCACTTGTTGTCGTACTTGGCTTGGAGAGAAATGACGAGGTTCTGCTCTTCTAGGGTCAAGGAGCCTTTCTTGATACCGGGTTTGAGACAATTCTTCCACCGCTCGAGATAGGATTTGCCCATGCATTGAGAGATGAGGTGCCATTCCTTTGGTCCATATTGCTTAACATAGGTGCGGAGGAGTCTGTCTTCTTCGGGTTGCCAATGTTGCCTCTCCTTCATCTCCTAACCAACATATCTCCTACTGCTGCTGTAGCTTCTTCTCTTCTAAAGAAGACAAAGATAACAGTTCACTATCTAAACCCACATTTTTTTTCTTTCTTTTTTCATTTCCTTTTATCTGACGTAGAATCGGAAGTATGGGCTTTAAACTTTGGAGTTAAATCAAGAGGGTCAAGACATGAGAGAGAAAGAGAGAAGTGATGAGATAGTAGCCAGGGCAACAAAGTGAGATATGGGGCAGAGGAGGTGTCAGAAGGGATGGAAAAGACGGGACGAGAGATGAATGATCAGGTACGGTATTTTTCAAATAGGTCAGATGAATGAAGTCTAAGGGTAAAAATGCATTTCTATACGATTTTCGTCTTTATCGTTAACGAAAGGGAGGTATTTGTTGATTTTTTTCGAAAATAAAGGGGAGGTTTTTGTATTTTACCCTATTTCTTTTCTCTTTGCTTGATAATGATAATTTTTCATTTCTCTTTTCACTCCTTGGTTTTCCAGGAAACTTTCTTGTCTTACATGTGTTCGTTTTATTTGCTTATAGGAGAAGGCAAGCATTAATCAAGTTCGATTCCTAATCCATCATTGAAGCTCCTATCTTGGCAAGAAGCATATATTATCACAACAGTAAATCAAAGCACTCCCCTCGTCTAATAAACATAACCTCATCATTTCTTAGGTGATAAACACAACATAAGCATCCAAATTCATTTTGGGATTAAATGTTGTCAATCATATTCATTTGGCAAACCTTCAAATGAAGCAAGTTGCATTCGACTGCTTGTCAGTTTCTCTATATATATACTTAACAGCAGAAAATTTGTACCGCAGAGACCAGAAAGAACACAAGAACACGAAAGTAACGAATAGGAGAGCTTAATCTTCAAAACAAGAGAAAAACCTAAAATCCTTGATTCACGTTCAACACTAAAGATCGAAGCAAAGACTAAGAAGAAGTTGAAAGAAAAAAACAATGAAGATAATGAGAGCTTAATCGAAGACTAAGTAACAGAAGGGGAGAAAAGGAGAGAACAGATCTAAAACTCACCGTGATCTGAAGAGCTTTGACTGGATCTGAGTCGGCGAGCGGAGAAGAAGGATTGGTTGGTGACGTGCGGAACTTCTTTTAGGGAGGTTTTGTTAACAAGTGGAGATATAATATTGCTCATTTGTTCATGTTTTCCTAGGCAACTCTTGTAGTAAAATGGCTTAAATGAGCGGAGAACTCTCTACGTGTCCACTCAGCGGCGCCCACAGAATCTTTGCGTTGACTATCATTTCAACCAATGAGCATCGAGCACGTTACGTTACAAAGCGTGGGTGCTCGCCCATGATCATATTCCTACGCCGTGATGAATTTCAAACTGCTGGTCCGTTTTGTTTGCAGTCGGAATCGGAATGGGAATTCCGAATTCCCCTTCCTGTTTGATTAGGACGAGAATCAAAATCAGATTTCATAAGATGCGTCCGTGCAAAATAGAAATATGATTTGGAGGATTTAAGTCAATTGCCGTTTTTTAAGTAAAATGAATTTTCATTCCCGAGGTGTTTTTAATTTCTTTCTTATTGTCTAAAATGAGATTTTCATTCCCAAGTCGATGCTTGGAGGGTGGCCTTCCCTTAGGCCCCATTTGTTCAATGGGAACGTTGACCAATTTTTTCATGTTCTTTTGCACATGTATGTGAGATCCATGGAAAATATATATTCCCCTGCGTGAATATTTTGGCCATTTATTTAGGAAAATTTACCCATCTCAGAGGTGGATAAGCTTCTTTCCCATTGTAGAGAGCAATAGACTGACTTTTATTCAAAAAAATATACCCTCAATGAAACACTTACCTGAGTAAGTTTCAACTAAAAAAAACATGGATAAATAAATTTACCTGAGTAAATTTTACCTAGGAAACACTTACCCGGTAAATGAATTCACCTAGGTAAATAAGATAGCGGTAAATGAATGGAGCTTGAATGAGAGAAAGACATTTCAATAGGGCCATTCCAATTTATATTGATCAACCTAAAATGCTCCAAGTAGAAATAGCAAGAGTACCAAATACAATACAAATGTGGATGACTTGGATAAAGCATGGAGCTGTACTTTCATTTATGGAGAACCAAAGAGGGCAAAAAGGAAGTTGTTTATGAAAAAATGGGAAAGGCTAGCAGCATTAGTGAAGAGGCATTGACTTTGTTTGGGAGATTTGAATTCAATTTTCTATCGGGATGAGAAGGAAGGAGGAAAATGTGTAATCAACACTATTTACAAAAGAATAGGTAGCCCCTTAAAAATTGTGGTTTATAGGAACTCAAGAGCTATGGTCCTTTTACTTGGACAAGTAGAAGAGTGAATAACCAGTTAATCACAGCAAGATTAGATATAGCCTTGTGCAATAGGGAATGGGCAGGTTTGTTTCACCAAGCTAAAGGTAGAATTCTATGTGCTATGGATTCTGATCATACACCTTTATGTGTAAACACCGAGAAAATGAAGATTTGGAGAAGGCCATTCAAGTTTGAAGAGATGTAGTCAAACCATGAGGACTGTGAAAAAGTTATTAAGGAGAATTGGGAGGCTGAAACCTCTGGGTCTATGAGAGAGTTTGAACAATAAAATTAAAAAGGTAGAGAGGGCCCTAAAAAAGTGAAACAAGGAGACTTTTGGAAACCTTACCTTATGTTTGGTTTGAAGGAAAAGGTAGGGAAACATATATTAGGTTTGTGAAGGTTTCCCTACCTTTCCCTACTTTTTCCTTCAAACCAAACACAGCGTTAATGAAAGGATAGTAGAAATCAGGAATAGCCTTGCCAAGGAGGAAGGCAAAGATAGAAAACATTTGGATTTAGAAAATATAAAAAAGTTAAGAAAGGATTTGGATGTTTTGTTAAAAAGGGAAGAGATATTTTGGCACCAAAAATCCAGAGTAAATTGGTTAGCCTATGGGGACGAAAATACAAAATACTTCCATGCTATAACTCAGAAGAGGGTAAGGAACATAATAGTAAGAATAAAAAATCAACAAGGATATTGGAAGGAGAATTTAGAGGATGTGGAAGATTGTACCAATGAGTATTTTAGAGATATTTTCAAAAGTTCCAATCTTGAAAATATAGAAGAGTGTAGCAAACTTAGAAGTTGTTCTAAATGAAGATGACTGAAATGTTTTGGAAATAGAGGTTGCCAATGAAGATATCAAAGATACTTTGTTTAAGATGAATCCAAGGAAATCCCTAGGATCATATGGCTTTCCAAGCCTCTTCTTTCAAAAGTATTGGAGTATTGTTGAACTTGAAATAGACAAAAACTATGAAGTTGTTCTTTCATACTAAGAAAATTCCAAATGATTTAAACTCAACCTTTATTGCTTTAATCCCAAAAGTCAAAAACCATAAAATCCTGAATCAATATAGACATATTAGTCTATGTAACACTGTGTATAAAATTATTGCATAAATTTTGGCTAATAGGGTCAAACTTCTATTAAACAAACTCATAAGCCCAAACCAAAGTGCCTTCACTCCAGGGAGATAAATTAAGGATAATATCCTCATTGCTCATGAAGTAATTGGTTTCATGAAAAAAACAAGAGGAAAAAAAGTGGATCGCTCTGAAGTTGGATATGAGTGAGGCTTATGATAGGGTAGAATGGGATTTTCTCAAGAAAGTAATGGAAAAGTTGGGATTTGGCAATGTTGGATTGAATGGGCTATGGAGTGTGTGACATCTATGTCCTACAAAATTCTGATAAATGAGGCTTTAGGGGAAATCCTAATACTAGAAAGGGGCTTGAGGCAGGGGGACCCTCTATCTCCTTATCTTTTCTTACTAGTTTCAGAAGCTTTATCTACAAAATTGATAAATCTGGTGAAATCAAATCAGCTATATGGCATTAAATTAAATAGAGACTGCCCAGTGATTTCACACTTATTTTTTACAGATGACAGTTATCTATTCACTAAAGCAAATCCAGAAGAGGGGAAGATTCTCCTGGACACTATCCACAACTATGAACAGGCTTTTGGTCAATAGGTAAATCTGGAAAAATTTGAGATTTTCTTCAGTTCAAATTTACACCCAATAGCAAAATCCCTAGGAATGAAAAGAGTAGAAACCCCTTCCATTTATCTGGATCTTCACACAGCCATTGGGAAGTCAAAAAACAAAAAAAATCTTTGTTTGGGCATAGTAGAAAGAATGGTGAAAAGAATGAAAAACTAACAAGAACTTCTCCTCTCCCAAGTTGGTAAAGAGATTTTAATTAAATCAATTATAACAGCCATACCTTCCCACACCATGTCATGTTTTCTTCTTCCAAAAACCACCTGTGAATTATTTTCTAGAATTCAAAGATATTTCTGGTGGAACAATGGTAACTCAAATAAAAAAGTACATTGGGTAAGCTGGTCAAATGTGTGCAGAAACAAATTAGATGAAGGGGATTTAGGGATCCCTACAGCTTTAACATTTTCCTCCTTGCAAAGCAAGCTTGGAGGCTTTGTATTGATAATGAGAGCCTTTGGGCAAAAATTATAAGGGCAAAATACTTGAAAGGAAAAAACCTCCTAAACAATAACCTCCAAAAAGAGGTTCTTGGGGTTGGCAGAGTATTCTAGCGGCAAAGGAAATTTTAAAAGGTGGGGCTTGTTGGGCAGTTAACAAGGGAGATAAGATTAAAATTTGGGAAGAACCCTAGGTTTCAAAATCCAAGGTCCTAGACCTTTATGGGACGTTCTTTTTTCGGATTTTGAGAGGGGGGAAAGTTGGTCAATGGGATTTTGGTTCCCATTGACCAAGAATCCCATGTTCTTTTTCAGGTTTATGTGGGGACCAGGAAAAGTTTATTTTCCTGGGTATCACTTACCCTCCTAGACGGGTAAATAACTTTTCCACTTAGGGGGAAAATTATCAACACTTGAATGAGACAAAAATGCCCTTTTTAATAATGGATTTTTATGGCTAAAATGATCATTGCCTTATTTACATGAGAAATACAAGAACATGGGTAAATGCACTTACTTGGGTAAGTGTTTCCCAGGAAAAACTTACCCAGATAACTGCATTTACCCGGGTAAATAACTTACCGAAAAGTGAATGAGGCCTTAAATGAAAATCTTACGGAGGTAAAAGACCTTATTTTCCGTTCGGGAAGAGCTTGGAACGAGGAGGTTATAAAAAAATAACTTCTGTGAGCTAACAGCAGAAAAAATAAAATAAAATAAACACTCCTCTAGCTGGTGGTGACTAGCAAGATAAATAAATTTGGATTCAAAGTGAGAATGGTCTTTCTTCAGTAAAATCTGGTAATTTTTTAGCAAAGCATTTGAATTAAGATTCTACCAATGCTCTAGTAGAAGAAAGGAGTAGAAGTAGAGCTTTGGAGAAAGGCCATTGAAAAGCTCTATGGAAGACTAAAACTGATCCAAAAATAAAAAATTTCCATTGTGGAAATGCTTCTGGGGGCTTTGGCAGTAAAAGAAAATAAAAAAAAAAATGTCCTATTAGCTCAATGCCTTGCTTTTTTGTGATCACACAAAAACCACTTAGTTTCCAAGTAGGTTAAACTTACGAATAGAAAATTTTTCTTTTTCTTTTTTTTTTGGACTGTGGTTTAAATGGTGGGTTGATCAATGCTTACCTCAAAAAGAAAAAGAGCAAGAGTTTCTGGCTGTCTTTAATTATCCTTTGGTCAATTTGGAAAAGTAGGAATGATTTCATTTTTTAAAATGTACTCATAGATCTTCATCCAGGAGTTTGCCTCAAAGTGGATCCTGGGTTGTATGTACAGGCATGCCCGAAGTGGATCCAGGAGCTTGCCTCAAAAGATCTTCATCCTGTTTTTTCTAGTTATTTAAATTAAAGTTTATTACCAAAAAAAAACAATACAAATGGACACTCAAAACAACAAGGCTGTTGACACTATCTCATGGTAAAATAAAGATAAAGCCTTTGTTTTGGTCACTTGTATTTTAATAATGTTTTCCAACGTGATGGGCTGTGTCCATTTTTCTGTCTGTTTTAGCCCAATAACCCCATTTAATTTGTATTCAAAATAAGGGAAAATTATCGATTAGTACCCTGTACTTTGGGCCTAGTGTCACTTTGGTCCCCCAAACTTTAAAATGCGATAATTCAGCACCCAAACTTTTAAAATGTGATAATCCAGTACTTGTTGTTAACTACCTGTTAATCAGCCGTTAAGTGGCATTTGAAAAAGGCACAAATACCCTTCGAGTGTCATCTAATGTTCTTTATCAGCCATTTAAGCATTGACAAAAAATTAACAGTTCAAAATCCTTTCCTCTTCTATTCAAGAAATTTGGAGTCACCAGAATGCCCACAAAAACTTGACCCCAACTTTCTTGAATGGAGAAGGCAAGGATTTGAGATTATTAATTTTTTGTCAGCGTTTAGATGGTTGATAAGAAAAATTAAACGACACTTGAAGGGCATTTGTGTCTTTTTCAAATGTCACTTAACGGTAGGTTAACATCTGATTAACGGCAAGTACTAGATTGTCACATTTTAAAAGTTCGGATATTGAATTGTCGCATTTTAAAGTTTGGGGACCAAAGTGGCACTAGGCCCAAAGTACAGGGTATTAATCGGGAATTTTCTCTAAAATTAAAAAAGAATTAATACCCAATATATTTAGAAAATAGAAAACTACTTAAATGTACCCTGGACTTTTCAAAGCCTACTTCTACATATTAACCTTTCAAAAGTTAAGTCTAAGGGATAAAAAGTAAAAGACAAATACATCTTTAAATGTAAATTAAATTTTCTTCTTCTTCTTGAGCCTTGTCCATGACATAAATCCGGTTCAATTGGTACGACACTGGAACGTCTATCCTTTGAGAGAACTTGTACTGGTTGCAGTAGTAATGTAGCAACAGCTGAACCGAGCTGTGACAACCTGAGAACTCAGGCATACTGAGGAGATGGAGCACCTAAGGATTGAACACAAAGGGCGATGTCGAGCCAACACTGCGTGAGCCTATCAAATCAGTCTGCATTGAGACTCACATTGGAGATCGCAAATGATGTCTTTGTTACTTGAGTGGTTAGGTTAAGGAGGAGGGCTTCAATGTCTTTGTTGTTTGTTGAGTTGTTGATGGGTTGTGGGTTGTATTTGAGAGCGAGAAGAGGAGAGGGGAGGATGTTGAGTTGCAGCAACAAAGGAGGCATAAGGAGAGAACAAGTGACGAGAGAGAGAGAGAACAAAATCCATGTTCACTCTAATTCACACACAGGCGTGTGTTTGGTTGGTCAGGAGTGCCAAGTTTAGGAAAATGTGTTTTGTATTATGAAAACATTTAAAATAAAGTATTAACATATTGATATTATAAAAACATTTGGAGTAAGGTATCTATTAACGGTTCTAAATGGTCCATTAACACTAACAGTGGTCCTGGTATCATTGATAGCCTAATTAACAGTGGTCCTGGTATCATTGATAGCCTAATTAACAGTGGTCCTGTATATGTTATGTGAGACCATCAACAAGGTATGTACAAGTAGATTTTAAAAGTTCAGGATAAATTTAAGTAATTTCTGTACAGAGTATATTTAAATAATTAACCTAATTAAAAATTCCACCATAACGATGACCCTCATTTTTTGTAGGTAAAATCCCCCCAAAAGGGTGCTTATAATTTCCATAACTGGCAAGGGTATATTTCAAGACTCACATTGGAGATCGCAAATTTCAAGACAACTCTTGACAATCAGTAATTCTTGAAATTTGACTCAAAAAAAAAAGAGCAACTCTTAGAATTCATTCATTGAAAAATAGGTAAAGAAGCATTTTTTTCAGCTTTTAAGGATAGATCATAGAGCTAGGCTCAGTTGCGCCTTTCAAACACATGGCTGTGTACGTAGGGGTGTCAATTTGACTGGATTTGGTCCAATCAGATCCAGTCCAATTTGAGCCCATTATAAATGGACAAGGTCCAATCCAATCCAATGAATGTTTTGGACTAATTTGGACCAGTCCAATTCAATGTCTGTACCGTCCAATCTGTTCAAATTCATTTTGATTTAGATTGGTTTCAATCCAAACCCAGTCCATTGACATATATTCTTTGTCAATAAACCGGATATTAGCTCAAACCAACCCAAGCCAATATAAATTTGTTACAGATGAATCAGATCCAATCCAATCTAATAAATATTTTGGAGCGGATTGGTCCAATCCAATATATCTTGTTGGTCCATCCAATCCGTCCCTTGTGTGTATGTTTATATTCGTAGGCCTATCTGTGTGTATAATCAACACCCCCCCCCCCCCCGGAGAGGGAGAGAGAGAGAGACGGTTGCATATAAATGAACAAAAAAGAAAGAGGAAAAAAATGTGAGATTTTTAGTTTATAAACTTAAAATTCTAAAAGAATTCCAACTTAGTTCCCATACCATAACGAGGCAAACAAATAAAATAGAAGCCCGAGCTGATAAACATGGCCCCTATACCAGCTCATGACGAAATAATCGTCTTTTTAATGTGATAAACGGATTGGAGTTACAGGATCATGAAGACTAATTCCAAAAGTGTTTTCCCAACATGTCATTTTCATCTTACCTTAAATTCTCAAAATTTAGAAAAGGGCATAGTTATTGCTTCTATTTTATAACAAATCAAAGAGAAGAATCATTAAAATAAGTCAACATGTTAAGATAGCACCCCACAGCCACAAAATGATCAAATAAAAAAACAAGGGAAAATACAAAGCTTTCAGAAAAATCTCTTTTAATACATCATCCACCTACTACAAGATCAATGCAAACCTAAAAATTCTGGACGTGAAATCACCTTGTCCACTGTCAAATGGATAATATGAGCACATAGTTTCTCCATGCTTCTATAACTCCCATCAAACTACCTTCTATTTCTTTCTCTCCAAAGACTACAGAAAGTAGCAAAGGAATGCACCTCCAGAAAATATTAGCCTTACCTTGAGTGTGCGGCCATGTGAAAATCCTCCATGCGGATTAATAGGCTTATATGCTTGTAACAGGAACAGTGAATAGAAAGATTGCAAGAAATAAATAGGCGCCTCACATCTTCAATAATGTTGCACATGCAGTGTAAACAATCTTGAAACCCCTCTTCTTCAAATGGTCAATTGCAAGGATGCTATACAGAGCGACCAACCAATAAAAAGCTTCTATTCTTCTTTTTTTATGAAAAAAAAAAAAAACTTTCTGCTCTTCAAGGAATAGAATTATCACAATCCCACCCCTCTCACATTAGAACAGCCCACCTGATTCTGGATGAGATGATAGCAATGTAGCACAATTTGATAGTGAATTGCCCATATTACAACATTCTTTTCCACCACCTTGCATCGTTCTCCAAAGGCAAAATTTGTTCTGTTTTTACTCAATAATACAAGACACTTCAACAAAGTCTTCTGAATTTCAGAGTTCAGACACCATGCCACTTGGTTACCATTTCAAGCATTCACCGATGGTGCTATACATGGAATTCCACCTGTAGTCTTGGATGCAAGTAACATAATTTCTAAACATCACACCATCTTCCCAAAATCTCATTTTAGACCCCTCCCTAACCATAAATTTGGTAAACCCCACAAAAGACTAGGAAAAAAATGATCCCCTTCCATTGATCCACCCCATAAGACACTGATACCTTCCCATCCCATATTTACACAGTATAATTCTTGAGATAAATATCTGCATTTCAAACCTGCTAGCTTCCTATCAATTCTATCCAGAATAGCTTCCAATGTAGTAATTGCTTTTATAAATATTATTCTTTAACATGTATTTATTTGGTTTTCATTTCCCCAACCAAACCCAGCAAAAACCCCAGATCAACCATCATATCCTTCAGCACAAATCTGACTTAACGGCCAGAGGGTTATTTGTCGCAAAGTAAAAGTTAAGGGGGCTTTTGTCACAAATGAAAGTTCAGGGGGATAAATGTCACTGATCCCATAGTACAGGGGATCTTTGCAATTTGCCCTTCATTTATTTTTTTTCTATTTATTTACTTATTTATTTATTTTAATAAGTAGGGTGAGATTCAAGTTTCAAAATGGATTTCAACAGTCGTCTGGACTTTGATGGAAGTAGTCAAGGTAACCCAGACCCATCTGGTATAGGAGGGATGTTGAGAGATAAAGACAGTAACATTCTAGCCTTGTTCTCTGGCCCAGTAGGAATAGGAGACTCTGATAGGGCTAAACTACGAGCGGCTATACAAGGTATGCAGATTGCAAGCCAACTTGGTGTGGAGAATCTAATAATTGAAGGAGACTCTAGAGTCGTTGTGGGATGCTTGACAGATCCGGGTTCAGTCATATGGTGCAACAGAGACCTAAAGAAAGCTAATTGGTTAACAAGGAACATGAATGTTAGCTCACACTGGGTGAGCAGATGGGCAAATGCATTTAACTGGTTATCTTGCCAAGCAAGGGGAAAATAGAGAACATCTGTACTGGGCCTGGTTTGCAAAGTTGTTTCTTTCTAGTGTTTTGATGTAATTTTCACTCTTTAAAGAGAGGTTGTGCCTTGCGCCTCTCTTTAGGATGCTTGTAAGAGCCTCCATCTTTTGCTGATAAAATTATCTTTCAATTATCAAAAAAAAAAAGTAAAAACAGAAGGATCAAATGTATTACTCAAAAATATTAAAAAGAATAAGTGGCATAGTGATAAAGAAGATTTTGTATATTATGCACGAAACAACAAAAAAATGGAATTGATGAGAATCTATATTTCCCTTTGAAATTGCTTCCAAAAACGGAAGCCATTTTCACATGAGAGATGGAGTATTCTCTGTACAAACTCCAGTTAGATAACCAAAGAGTAAAAAAAACTAACCTGAGACTAATTGTACACCTATAAACCATAAATGACATAAAAGAAGGCTGAACATACAACTTCGCTTATAAAGTTTAAACCCTATAAATGTAAAGTTACCTGAGATCAATGAGTATCCAAGAGAATACATGCATCTGCTGCAATCATGTACCGAGGTTCTGTTTTGTGGCTTCCATTTTTAACAATAGGTCTTTAATATCTGATTCCATCCTCATCTTCATGTTGAAATATTCACGGTGTGCCTTTTCTAAAGCCTGAAGTTCTTCAAGCTTTTGTCTGTGTCTTTCCTTAGCTTCAACCAAACGTAATTTTGCAACTCGGCATGCATACTCTTCTTCAATTTTCTCATTCTTAGCAATTGCAATGCGTTTCAGACCTTCGGCTTCTCTTCTTGCATCATCAGCACGTGATTGGAACATTTTAGCTTCTGCCTGTTTGATTCTAACAATGCTCTCCAATTCATCTACAACTGGTGTTTTTTCACTGCTCTTCTTCAACTCTGAACCTCCAGTTCGCATACCCCCTCGATCCCAACCCAAGCTTGGACTTGGAGTAACACTACCTGTGTTTTCATTGTGAGGAACAGCATTATCTGTTGAAACAGGTGTCAGCCATGTTGTTTCTTGGCTGAGCCCAACAACCCCATTGCTCCCTTCTAGATTCTTGTAGGATGGTTCCTTCACAGTAACTGTTGAAGTACTGCCAGGCTTGGAATCTCCTGCAATCGCAAAAAGTAAAAGGATAAGTTAATAGCATCATAATGGTTTAACTGTTTAAGTTCCACAACTGGGTAGATCAACAATGCAGATTATCGAACATAGACCATGTTTAAAATGTCCATATATTTCCTAATAATTCCACACACATTTCCATTTCCATGGGTGCACACAAATGTTTATTGAAATCTACATATTCTCCAAAGAAAACTATAGTGCTATGTGGAGTAGAAGAGATGGTATTATAACGTAAGTAGGCAACAACATTGTAGTTATGTAGAGAAGCAGTAATCTTGCCCACCTAGTGGACATGATTACCACTTTGAGTCAGCATGAAATTCTTTCTAGACATGAAGATAAATCTTAGCTTTTGTTTGTGAAATAGATTATTTGCTGAACTCAATCTATTTAAGAAGATACACCTATGCTTCTTTTATCATTTCATAAAATACCATCTTACATTTTTGCATATTTTACAACATTTCCACCATGCCTATAACTTTTACAATATTCCGACATTTTCAACATGTTTTTAATTTCCTTTTCCCAAGATCCTTGCAAACATAGGGAATTGAATATTGCATTATTGCTGATCATCTAACTGTCTGTCATGACCTAAACTTTGGAGATTTGTAATATAATGTATTTTGTCAGTTATTTAGTTCCATATCAGATATGACAGGTTCCAAATAGATACCGCAATCAATATTTTTACCAAAGGTTCCAGATCCATATTCATTGTGCCAAACTAAATATCCATTATTCAAGTTAGCTGACCCCATATAGTTGGGATAAGGCATGGATGATGATGAAGTTAGCACTGCTCAGAACCCTGAACTGCAGGATTCACAGTATTCTATGGAACCACTTTGATGAAATAGGTCGCAATTTCATACTTCCTTTCCGGTTTTTTCCTATGAAAAATATAAGTCCAATCCCGTATACTGTAAAATTGCTAGAAAGTAAACAAGTAAACATTGTAGTGATTGAAGCACCACTAGAAACAGCCTTCAAAACAAAATAAGGGCTCCATAAATTACCCATCACATACAATCTTCAGATCAAATCATGATAGGAACAGTTTGTAAAGAAAATGAACAGGATGCAAGCAAACTGGCCCACCATGGAGTTTGAGCTAGAGTTTAATACCATAATTAGGCTGTTATTGGTCTAGGGTAGGTATTGGGCTTAAAGTTTATCCAAACGTCAGCAAAAGCTTATCTCAGGCCTGACCTACATACCCCCTCCCCCCAAGGGTAAAAAAAAGCATGGATAAAGTCACATATTAGAACAAGCACACGATGACCTAAGAAATGAGGAGTCTAAAGTACAACACCAGAAATACACAAGGAATTATGAGATTAGTAATTAACGATTCATCTACAGAACTTCAGAAACCCAAAAACTTAACAGAGTGAAGAAAGGATAGGCATAAGCCAATAACAGCAGTTTAGTCTACTAATATTCCTGATAATAACATGTGAGATTCATACAGTGAAAGACTCATAGCAGCAAACTGGCCTAGGCATAAGTTTAGATATTGGTTAGTCAAAAATAGAAATTTGCAACTATAGTTTATTTTGATCTGTTATTGATTAAGAAACAGAAATGTGAGACTAGGAAACACCCATGGAAACAAAACACAGTGAATAACCAACATGCAAGAAAGGTCTTGCTCCAAAAAAAAAATCAAACAACAACAACAACAAACCAATGAAATTCTTGGTAAAAACAAAACTATAGAACTTTTGTTTGGAAACCGGTAAAGTATAAATTTCATTGATCATTCCAAGAAAAACACACAAGGAAATAAAACTACAGAAATTACCAGTAAGGAACGCCATTATATGATTATAGGCCTCAGGAAGATTGGACTTATTATCTAATCTTGCCATCATCTGATCAGCAATATCATGGAGTTGTTTTCCTCTCGTGTCATTGCTGGCAGAAAAAATCCTCTTCACATATTCAAGCTCCTTGGAAAGAGTTTCAGCTTTCCAATCCTTCGCACATGTTTTGAAAACTTCCTTTACAAAGCCAAACATTTCAGAAGGATGATCACAGGCAAGACAGTGGAACTGCATCTCTGTTGCCCCTTGAGTCCCAGTTGCACTCCGTCCATTTCTAATATAAGATTCCCGCAATCCGCAATCAGTATGGCACCAATGAAGGCAGACATCACATCCAACCCAACTACAAGTATTAGATGCCATGTCAAACTTTGAACATACAAGGCACATGCAAGCACTGCAGAAGCCATTCTTTTGTATGCAAACCTTGCAATCACATTCATCCACAGGAATCACACTCTTGCACCCAAGATTTCTACACCTCAAGTTCAGAAATATTTCGGCTAATTCTAAAGATGGAACATTTCTAGCTCGCCTAAGGAAATCCTGAAGACCAGTCTTAAGAGCCACCAAAATTTCCAGCTGAACTCGATGGGACTTCAAAAGTGTCTCTAGTGTAAGGTCAGACCTGCTCTGCAGCACCTCCTGAAATGTACATAGCTGTCCATGCTTCTCTTCATTCACTATCATCTCATAAGCATACTCTCTTAAGCATGCCACAGATGTCATCTCATGGATTCTCTTGGCCATTATTTGTATTGGTTCTGAAACTACCATGGTGATTATCTTCTCAGGAAAATCAGTTCCACCTGCCACCAGCTGTTCTATCTCTCTCTGGCTGCTACTACAAAAAAGACTACCACCACTTTTCTCTCTTATTATCCGCTTCTTATCGTTAGCATATTCTGACCTAGTTTCATGAGATCCAACACTATTTGTAGGGGACCTGATTTTTTCAGGTTGCCTTGGCTGTGTTCCTGATAACTGTCTCAGAAGGCTTGGCTGCCCATCAAGACCAATTGGCAATCCAGATCTTCCTTCAGCAACTTTAAGATGTTGTCCTTGCATTGCTTGACAATGTAAAATACCTTGTGATGACTGGGATGCATGCATTGATCCATTTCCATTCATTAATATTCTCTGATACAAGGGAACCCCCTTGCGCTTAGGGTCATTTGAAGGCTGTCCTTGCCAGGTGCCATGGGAAACTTGATCAACTCCCTGAAATATAGGATGACTGCCAACAGATTGTTCATAATTGTCAAATGAATTCTGGGTGAGAGAACAGCTAGGGTTGTGAACAAAAGGCTGGGAACCTGAAAATGAAATTGAGGCAGTGAATCCATCTGAGCCTGTACGGAAGGTGTTAGTGGTATGAAAGGACTGAAAACTTCTTGCACGACTAGGGGAACTAGGGGCTGGATTTGGATCATGAGAAACATGTGGAAGTGAGACATTCGGCAAGCCAAGAGACAGCTCAAGTGGCTCCATTTTCAGCTTCTCATCTTTATGCTTACCGGAATTATTTGTCTTATCTGATCTTGTAGCAGATGGGCTGAAGAACAACTCAAAGCCCCTAGAGCTAGGTCCTTCCATAGCATCTTCTCTGCTGGTCAGTAAATCTCTTTCCATCCACTCCATGGAGCTAGCATCATTGGAGGGAGAAAAGGCCAGACTTTTGCCTTTGTCCTTGGCATTTTGATTTAGCTTGTCTGTTATAAGGGACAGAGTTACTTTAGGCACTTCAGTCTCATCTTCAACTCCCTTATCTGAATTGGGTGAATTCAGGTCCTTTGCCTCCACTTCTAGATCTATACTTCTGTCTAGTTTCTGTTCTTCTCTCAAAAGTAATGACTTCTCGGTTGTCGCATCCTCAATTTCTTCCTTCTTACCCTCATCTTCTGGCTTAAGGTTACAGGGGAAAATTTCTTGGTCCTCCCTACCACTTTCTTCCTTTTCTCCACCTCCATCATCTACTTCTGTTTCTGTTTCTGCTTCTTTTTCTGTTACTCCTTCCTCCTTTCTTCTAGCCAATCCATCAACAGGATCATCCGGTAAAACCGGAAATTCATCATTTTCTTTTATTGTATCTGTCACAGTCTCTGATACTTCATTTTCCAGTTTTCCATCATAATTTCCACTTTTCTTGGTGAGCCCTATCTTCTCCTCTTGGGCTGATTTCACTTCTTCCTCCGAGTTCGTCTCTGATTTAGTCTGCTGCTCAGTCTCTAGCTCCTTATGATCTTCCACGTTCACCTCAGCCGGAGGCTCAGGTTGAGAAGGTTCACGTTCATGAGTGGGTTTGGGTTCATGAACCGTTTCAGGTTCCAGTTCCCCTTCTTCCATTTCACTGTTATTACCACTCTCTCCCTGCACTTCTTCGCTCTTCTTAACCTCAACGCTCTTTGACTGCTCTCCACCAGAGTCCTTTGACAAAGGAGGAGACTTGACAACATCTTTCGACCCCTGCGGAGATCTCACATTACCTCTATCTTCAGAAGCTACTCGACTCCCTCTGCTTGAATCGGAAACAAACCTACTATCTTCATCAACATCTTTGCTTCCACCGAATCTCCGCCACAAGGAAACACTATCCTCTCGCCGTGACCGATCCCTCTCCGATCTAAACCCCTTGGGGAACTCCCGCCTAGATCCAGAGAAGCTCTCGGATCGATGCATACGCTCTCCTCCATACGAGTTCCTAGGAGAAGAAATTGAAACCCCCCTGTCGCTGCAATCCCGGTAGCGATCAAAGCTCTTTCTACGATCGAAGCCATCAGAGTCATGGTCCAATCGCTTCCGCAAGGATCTGGAACTCTCCCGATCATCGTCTATCAATCGATCGTGCCCAGACGAAGATGATAACCCCTTCCGCCCGCCACTCTCAGCTTTCGAATAAAACCGCCGATGCGAAGACGAGCGGTCTGCATCCTGATCCCTTCTTCCCCAATCTTTACAAACTCCCTTCTCCCCAACCGAATCAAGATCATCACTGTAAGATCTCAACCTCTTCATACTTAATTTACAGAACAAAATAAAACAAAAACAAAACAGAATTAACAATACGGGAAACTAGAACTCAACTTCGAAACCCTAGTTCCCGAAACCCTAAATTCCAAAAACCCTAACTTCCCATTGATACAATAACTGAAACAATAATAAACTACCGAACCAGGTAGAAACAAAGCGAAAAAAGTTACCAGTCATACATATACAATCTCCTGCCGGAGGCCACCGAGAATTCGTCGCGAAAGACGGCCGTGGAACGTTTAACGGCGGATGTTTTCCGGCGAGTGAATGATAAGTGGCGAGAATTATCCATACAAGAAATGGGAAAAAAAAAAGAAAAAAAATGCAGAGACGAAGGAAAGGTTTTATTAATGGTTTTCGAAGTAAAAAGGAACTATTTCAGTCAACCGAGTTAATTGAAGATGACGTTAGATAGACAAAAGTCATAAAGGGGACCAAACCAACTGTGGGTGTGTGGGGTCGCTGAAGGATTCTGGTATACGCAGCGTGCGTGATACGCATACTGAAGGCTGTAGCCGAAAGGGTGCGTAGTGCGCTCGGTGCTTTAGTAGCCGTTGACATGGTTTCGGGATTAGCGGAACAAGTTTGCTTTTGGAGGAGGGAAAGAGAGAGAGAGGGTTTGACTATTTTGACAGACTTTTGACGCCTCGATGTTATCGAAGTCGAAGGCACCTTTGCTTTTTTGACTCCCTGCACTGAACTGCAAATCTGAAATTGGTTTTGTCTTTTTCTGCTGGACGACTCTCCGTCGCGTCCGGATTACCTGCCAACAAACTACGTTCCAACCCTCTACAAACAAAATCTCACACCGCACATCTGATATATGGAGGATCCCAAGGATTACACTTTTATGGTGCATATTTTGTTAGAAGGTTGGAACATATTTTGTTGGCAGAAGATCTCAACTCCTCTCTGTCTCCCATGCTTTTGCCACTTGCCGTCTATCTTTCTTTCTTTGTCTGAATAATCACAGCCACTGATTTCTTCAGGCCCCATTTTGGATGAATTTTGCAGGGCCCACAGTTTGTAGCCTTTGAAAGACGCGGTGGAGATCACATCTCCGCCCCACAACGCTCCATTAAAGTCAAACCCAAATTCATTAGATATGATCCAAATTGGATATACTAGTAGATCCAATTTGAATATAATATGTTTACCAATGACCTCATTGAGTTGGTCTCAGCACTAGAGGTGCAACTCGGGTAGGTTCAAATTGGGATTTTGTTAAAATTCAAAAGGGGTTTGCTCGAAAGCCTGGATCCAAAACAATGTAAAATCTTCAAACCGGGTGCCCGACTTGCACCCCTACTTCAGCATCCCTTGCTTTAAGGCTGTGTTTGGTTTGAATAAAAAAAAAAGATAAGGAAAGGAAGGAATCCCCACCAAACAACTTATGGGCCAATCTTGCAAAAATTGCAAGTTTCCATGGTATGGTCAGTGATTCATGTGCATCCTTCACTATCTCTACATCTTATCCCCTTCTTTTATTATTTTTTTTGAGGGGCTATAGGACCGCGGAAGGGGAAGGGGGCCCATCCCCCATCCCCTAAACCCCCAACCCTGGTGGCAACAGGATTTGATCCCAAATATCCACTACAATGAAACTGAGATCCTACCAATTGGGCCAACAACCAATTGGTCACCTTGCTCCTATTGGGGGCAAAGCCACATTAAATATGAAGCAAAAACAATCTATGGCTAGGCTAGTGTTGCATAGTCTCCCCCACTAAGAAGTGCTTGCGTTGGAAGCACGTTGGGTTTGACATTTATGTTTCTTCTTGTCCACTCAACATAAATGAACAACCAACGTCTGTGCCAAATGCCATTTTCATATAAAAATATTATCAAATAATAGAGATGATCTTCTAAACCTTTTCTATAGGTTTATTTCTTCATCTTATTAAAGTTGGACTCTTGAACATGCATCAGATTCTAATTTCCATGTCTGTGCCCATGTACCAATCCAAGTGATAAAATATATGTTTTCACATAAGATTTTATTTATTCTCAAACAACAATTGGATGCCATTGGGTATGGAGTGGCATTCTCAAAATAAGGACTTTTATAATGAAAGGGACAATATGTAGTGGGAGAAGGTGAAGATTTCTACTTTTGACTTGACAGTATGATGTAAAGCCTCTTCTCTATTCCTGCCTCAACATTGGTAAAGTTGGGTCAAATTGTAAAGGTGAAGATGAAGATAATCAATGTGGTATGGAATACGAGCAAAATAAGAACCAGCTTCACTTAAAAAGCAGTAGGTCATGTCTATTACTAATATCGAGCAAAGGCTGGTTTTGCATTAGAGGTCCCTTTCCAATGATAGGTATTCAATCAAATTAGCAAAATGATTGGAAGTGGAGGTTACTACAAAGTAAATATGCATAGAAAAAGGGTGTAGAGATTACAATGCGCAGAATGATTGGTAGTTTTCCTCTGGTTGATGGCCAATAGCAGCCTCACAACAAGGCACCTCTTAAAGGTTTAAAGTATTGACATGTATTGGCTCGTATCTCAGCTGATATGTATCGTATAGGAAGTACCCCGGCCGATATGCCCTTACAGAGGGTGTATCGAGGTTTTGACTAGTTCAAGGGGTGAATGAGCCTTAAATTGGCCTCCCTAAATCAATTTAAAAAATATATATATAAAAAAAGGACCAATATAGCCTGATACACTCCTACCGACATATCAGGCATATGGATATTTAGAACCTTGCTTAAATCATCAATGATGAACCTGGACCCACTTCCCAAATATGCTTGTGTGAGACAAAGGACTTGAATCATGTGATTAACCATGTACTCTGTAGCGTAATAATGTTTTAAAAGCCAGACTAGAGATTGACCCGATTTCTATTCAGAGAACAGGTCAAACATCTAGCCTTTAGATGGGAATATTGGTAATTGTGGCATTTAGATGGGAATATTGGGTCAAGTTAACATCATATCACCATCATTCACGTTTATGTTTTTGTAGAATGACAAATGAAAGAGAGATGAAAAAGAATATTCTCTCTTTCTCTCATTCAAGGGCTGTTTAGTACTGTGGCAGTTGATTTTAATTAGGGATAAGTGGACTGCAATCCACCTTAGAAATCTGAATTGCAGCTCCCTCCTAGTCTACTAGTAGCCCCCTATAAATCGCATCCTGCCCATAAATTTGGCATCAATCCATGGGCAGGATTTAATCCACCCCTAGAAATCTTAGCTCCACCCTAGGGGTAGATAGAATTATAAAAACCCCTTTTAATTTATGCTTTGTACTTTTTTTATCTTGAGAAACAAGAAAGTGGTAGATAACATTTATTCAGTGTTGTTTGAGTTAGATATCATTAGGCGCCACATAAGCTCAACAATAAATAAACACGGTTGAGTGTTGGGGGAAGCATTAAAAATGATGTTTTCTCCAACAGTTGGCTCTCACATAAACTGATAAAACGCTTATTTAATAAGCAGTGTTACCAAATAATGGTGTTTCGCTCAATGCCTACATGGTGATAACCTGACACCGTTTTTCAAATAAACAACCATAAAACCAAACACAATTCAAGTTGCCAATGCTGGTGGGTGTGGGCAACCTTTTTTTTTGTTTCTACCAATTGTTCTAATTATTATTTAAAAACATAGATTACAAAATTAAAAAAATAATATAAATTGTTGAACTGTGAAACAAGTTGAAGGATTCATTCATTTAACTAAGTTGATAGTTTGTTGACCAAGTAAATAGTTTTGTTTTTGGCTTCTAGATACATGCATTATATAATAATTATATTATATAGGAAAAATTATAAAGAACTACCCTTTACTTTGGGACAATGACACTTAGGGCACAAATATGCACTTGCTATACAACTTGGACTTGAGTGTTGAAATCTAAAAGCACTAAGCAGCTATTGCCTATCTGTGGCAAGTGAGAGTTCAAGCCCTTAAGGCCATGTTTGGTTCAATTCTCATTCTTTTTCATTCTTACCTAAGATGAAATTCTAAAATGGACAAGAATGGGTAAAAATAGGCAGGATGAGAAAATATTGCTATAAACCAAACACTTTTTCCCTAAAAATGAATTCTTTTCATGCTAACAATTGTCCTATGTTGCTCATTTTCATTCTTCAAAAAAAAAAAATCATGCAAGTATTCACAAACCGCCATCCTAGGTGTCCAATAGTCAATGTTTACTACTTGGCATAGATGTTTTGTAAAAGTACTTTCGTAAAAGTGCTTTTATAAAAGTATTTTCCTAAAAGTGCTTTTGCAAAAATGTTTTCATAAAAGTACTTTCGTAAAAGTGCTTTAGTAAAGTACTTTTATAAAAGTGTTTTTATAAAAATATTTTCGTAAAAGTGCTTTTGTATAAATAATTTCATAAAAGTACTTCCAAAAAAGTGCTTTTATATAAAAGTACTTTTATAAAAGTGCTTTCATAAAAGTGGGTTCATAGAAGTGCTTTCATATAAAAGTACTTTTATAAAAATATTTTTGTAAAAGTGCTTTCACAAAAGTAAACATTTATGACAACATTTTTGTAGACAGAGTTTCCTCGAATGAAATGAGTAAGATGGGGCATGATTATTTTTCATGCTGCAAGCTACTTATACTCAGTTTGAAAAGATTACAAATGTAAATTTGTTCAGTGCAAATACATATAAAATAATATAAAATATAAGGTTTTGCATTCTATATATTTGCATTTGTACTCCTTCAAAACTGAGCCTTAGTGTTTTGTGCTATGAAGCTGATTTTTTATTCTAAAAATGATGTGGCCTTTGGCAAGAATTTTGTAACCAAACACTAATGTTATTCATTCTTGCCCATTTTTATTTAGAATGAACAAGAATTAAGAGAATGAGGCATAGAACAGTCAACCAAACATGGCTTAAGTGTCACACTACCCCCCAAAACCCAGCCCATTATCACCCAGATTGACTCCATAGTCCATACTACAATATCCATCATCATCTTCTTCTTCTTTTTCCAACCCTCACCTTCAAAACCCCCCCATGACCAAAATCATCTTCTTCTATCCATTCTTCTATAATTATCCATTATCTAAGACATGACACTTGACACAACCACCTTGAATTTCATTCATCAGATATTTTCTTCTGTTTTTCATGCATGGCAACCCTGTCAATTGCCCATTCTTTCCACACCTAAGCCTAAGAACATCCTAGATCCTCTTTGTAGACCCACTTCAAGATTGTGATGTGAACCGATCGATTGGGTCTTCAGATCAAAAGCCAAAGCAGAAGGGGCTGTTTTAGAGAGGCTAGAGCGTTGGCTAAAAGCATAACTTGAGTGTGTTGAGTCCAAAAAGCAGAAGGGGGATTGGAAGGACGTGATGTTGATGAGCTTCTCTTCCATTCGTTGTTTACGTTTACTTTATCAGAGAAGATTGTTTGTGCATACCGTGCTCAAACAACCCCGCTAAGCAACATGCTCAAATGATTATCCCCCCAACAACAGTTTGAACTAAATTCCCACACCCAAAAATCTGAATTATTTATTGCTGTATCCGAAAAACAACGTGAATTCGTTGATGAAAAAGAAACGTGTATCTCTGCGGATGACAAAATGATCTGTAACTATCAATCGGTTGGGTGTTTGGTCTAGTGGTATGATTCTTGCTTTGGGTGCAAGAGGTTGCGAGTTCGATTCTCGCAACACCCCTTAATATCAATTATATTTATTATTTTAAGGGAAAATTCTCGATTAGTATCTTGTACTTTTGGTCTACTGTCACTTTGCATCCTGATAATTCAGTATCTAAACTTTTAAAATGTGCCAATCCAGTATCTGCCGTTAAGGTTCAAAATTTCGATTCGCTTTTGTGTATCAGCATAGGCGTATTGAAACATAAATACACATGGAAAATCTTTTATTTTTTAGTTTTTTTTCAAAAATTTTTGGGGAGTTATAAACATGTTTTTTATTAAAAAAGAGTGAGATCCTGAAACACCTGAAAACAGACATTTTGGGACCCAAAAGATACATTACGATACAATACGTCCCGTATCGAAATTTTGAACTTTGCCTGACATTTACAATTCTGTTAATCAGTCATTAAGTGGCATTTGAAAAGACACAAATGCCCTTTAAGTGTCATCTAATTCTCTTAATCAACCATCCAAAATCCAAACATTGATAAAAAATGAACAGTCCCAAGTCCTTGCCTCTTCTACTCTAGAAAGTTGGGGCCATGACTTAGTGGACATTGTAGTAACCCCAACTTTCCTGAATAGAAGAGGCAAGGATTTGACACTGTTCATTTTTTATCAATGTTTGGATGGTTGATAAAGAGATTTGATGATACTTGAGGGCATTTGTGTCTTTTCAAGTGCCACTTAACGGTTGATTAACAGACCGTTTAATGGCTGGTACTGAATTGGCACGTTTTGAAAGTTTAGGTACTGAATTGTCGTGTTTAAGTTCGGGGACCAAAATGGCAACAAGCCCAAAGTACAAGGTACTAATCGAAAATTTCCCCTTATTTTAATGGAATAGCTTTTACCATGCTTAAGAATATGTTAGTAGATGTAAATATGTAAATGGATTTTTGCCCTGGAGCAATGGTAATGTGGGTGCAAATGGACAATACTATTTCTGTAGGATTTGGATAGCCCTAGAGGTGCAAGTAAGGTGGGTTGGACCGGGTTTATAATCAATCAAGGCTGATCCTAAAATTTGGTCTTAAGGCCCGAGCCAGAACCAAGCCTAAGGTCAAGCCTGATTTTCCCAACCTGAGCCCAACTCGTATTGTAATTTGATGCACTTGGGTTGGGCTTAAGTTGGTCAATGACACACACACACACACAAATTGGGTTAAAATTTTCATAATTCGAATCGAGTTGGATCAGATTCGGATATCCGACATACTTAATAGTTTCAAATTCGAATCACCATTTATAAGATCTGATCATATCTTCGAGTCAGATCTTGGATTCTGCTATCTGATTCGACTCCGATCCGATCTGTTTGCATCCCTATGATAACCTTATAAGAATTTAGTCATTTGCACTGTTTTCAAAACCGGACCGGACTGGACAGTCGGACCAAAAAAACCGGAAACCAGTCACCTGAACTTCACAACAAACCGCTGAACCATTGATTTTGGCCATCAAACCGCTGAACCATTCGAACGGTTTTGACCGTTTTCCAATTTTTTTAATTTTTTTAATTTTTTGTCAGAACGGACCGATCATTCAAGTCAAACGGTCGGACCATTCAAACCGGTAACCGAACCCCTGACCGGTTTGGTCACAGGTTCGTTTTTAAAAACCATGGTCATTTGTCAACCTGACAAGGCCGCGGCTACATATTCACGACGATGCATTACTGTGGTGTTGATAATGAAAAATTGAAAATAACAAGTCAGGCAAGAAGATTTCAATCGAATGTGAAAATGCTATTAGTCAATATTAATTATATGTCTATACCCTCTTTGGCCAAACCAGCAACGGGGAGTCCTCTGTATGGACGGAGCAGTGGTTTCCTTTTGCATGGGGGGCCAACCAGTTCAGCCATCTATGCTTGTACTCGCAACAGTTTGATGTTTTATAAAGGCAAAGTTTAAAAATCAGCATTAACCCAAGCAGTTGAACCTTTTGATCCGAAAACTGATCATGCTACCAGTTCCCATCATCGCCCAGTCCGTTTTTTACCACAAAAACGTTGATTTGGTCAAAAAAACATCAAGCTGGATGGTTGAACCACTGAACCATTTGACCCATACAATAGTTTCGTGGATTCACAGCAATAAATATTTTGTAAGACAACTGGAAAACCTCGTGTTAGGCAGTTAGGACTTTTTTTAGCAGGGACCACATCTCCATGACAAGGGAGATACGGCAGGGTATGTCAAACAACTACAAGCCTACAACCTCACAGAGATAAATTGGACATCGAAGCTGTACAATTCACCAGCTCGGTTGGTTCACTCTCACTGGCAGAAAAACTAAACCTAGTTAGTTCACTGGTAGCCGGTTCAACTACCAGTCTATCAAAATGTCAATAAAGAAAAAGAGAATGATTTCTGGACAGAACAGAAAGAAACTTGTATGTTTGATACAGTCATATAGAATTACTCGTTTAGAGTTAGTCGATGCATAACAAGAATATTATCTTTATGGTTAACCACAAAAGAAAGTTTTGGAGTAACTAGCTAGGTTTGGTTATCCAAAATTCTGATCAGTCAGCTTTGTCCCTTTTGAACTTGAATAGACGGTATATTAGTGCCAACAACCATTGCCAAATGAGGATTATCCAATTGTTTGTCTTGGGCTTGGGTTCAGGTCGTGGTCCGAAAATTCCCTTGTATAACTCTTTCTGTTTCTGATAAACAGCCTTCTCATGTTCAGCAAGTAAACGGAGCTCCCTTGTAATTGCCTTATCTTCAGGTGCAAATTTTTGGGCTTTGAGAAAATCATCCCGGGCAGAGTCTGTCTGCCCAAGTTCTGCTCTAGCTTTTCCTCGTCTGAAAAGTGCTTTAACATTATTTTCATCCTCTGCCAACACCTGAGAGCCCAGCATGGAATTTGGTAATAACCATTTTAGACTTGTACTTTCTTAAATAACAATCATTATATTCATCATCTATCAAATACAAAGAGACCACCAATGGAATACTGCAAGAATGTTTTGTGAATACATTAAAACTAGGAAGGCCTTCCATTTGCAAGCAATAACAGCTAAATTTGAGATTGAAGACCCGGGATGCATGGGTTGGTGAAAAAGATGAACAGGATGAAAATTGGTTGAAACATAGAAAGTGATTTGGGTCCTTTTTTGGCTAAGGGAAACCACAATTGCAATACGCAACTTGAAAAGCATGGAAGTCCCAAACAGAAACTAAGGTTCTTACATTGGTAATAAGTGCTGATAAGAGAATGTCTTAAAATAATGAAGTGCTAAACCTCCCAAACAATATTGTTACAATAAAATCAAGATGAAGTTCTTTATAATTTTTTTATGGAGAAAAGGAAGATATTATGCTTGCTAACATAAACTCTTGGGGAAAAAAGGTGCAAAAGAATAATACCTTGAAAGAAGAAAAAATGCAAGTACATTATAGGAATTCAAATGTGTCAATAGGTGAATTACCGGATCTTAGGAGAATGATAGATTGGAAAGTTTAAGAAAGCTAGTTTCTGGTGAAATAGTCAAAGACAAAAAAGGGCAACAGCAATTTTCAAGGGAAGATATACTTACAATGCTACATTGCCCAATTGCCTCTTCGTAGCGTTTTAACTTTATTAAGCATGCTGCCATGTTAAGGTGGCATGGATTCTTCACAGCCAATGCCATGTCTCGGTACTTTCCAAATAACTGGAACATGAAGTCATCTCCCATGTATGCTATGGCCTGACAGGGATCAGATTCATCAGGGCAATTTCTTGCATGAAATCAGAATGCCAATGTTAAAAGACTAAAAAGAAAACAGAACAAGAATCAAGGGAATAGTGAGCCTATGACCATTTCATACTGTTGCATAGCCTCCTCCAGTTTGTCATCCTTAAAATACGCATTCCCTTCCATCTTTCTCTGGTCCGCTGCTCCAATCCTCTCCTCTACTGTCATGTCACTGCGAGCTTTCCCCTGAAATGTGTGCCACAGTTTATATAGTCATCATCTAAGAAATGCTCTAGCTATGAAAGGTCTTAGATGGCAATATGGCATTTGCATACAGCTGAATTAGAGGCATTGGAGAAACCAAGCAGCAAAACTTACTTCTTTGACTTCATCAAAACCTATAAGCTCAACTTCATATAAAAGATCTGCCATAGGTGGAACATTTGGAAAAGAAAAGCTTCCATCTTTGCCATAGCCTAATTCCCAGCCAACATGGATCAGGGCACGCTCACCAGCTTTCATACTTGAGACACCAATCCCCAATCCTGTCATCTCAATTTTCTCTGGTGCAAAATGGGAGGGGGGGGATCATAAATGATTAAAATTCTTTATCAATACTGTAAAAGCCTTGTATCATTTTTCTAACACAACCTAGAAGCAAAATTCCATGAAGAAAGTGCAAAGGTTTTTCCTCAGAAAAGGATTATACACGGCTTTTGTACTTCAACACGTCACATATGTTAAAGGGGCAGAGGTAGAGTCAACCTGTTGTGCAGGACATGTTATTTATCTCTTACATGTGCCCACTAGCTGTATCTATATAATATTTTTTTTACAAAGTTCTAACCATGACTGGTTTAATGGTAAGTTTGTTAACAAATCAAGTGATGAATATCTATTTGTAGAAAAAAAATGACAGGCAGTTGAAATATAAATCAAATTTGTACAAGTTTGCCCAAGTTATTGGTCAAGAAAAAAGCTGATTTATTTTTCAACCTTTATAATTTCTTTTTTCTATGCAAATGGCTGTTACAATTAAATGCTTGCACAGAGCATGGTTAGGTTCTATTTTTTGAAGGAAAAAATAGAAAGCTTCATTAAACTGAAAAAGAAGTACAATACAAATCAGTTGGTTGTCAAGTTGACAAACCAACCAATGTTACACCACTCAAACTGAAAATAAATCTTCATTACAGGGATGCAACTCAAGAGTGCTCCAAAAGTTCTCTAACAAATTGGCTTTGTTCACTTTATCAAACTCTGGAAGCCGTAGAACCCAATCTGATATTGGATTACTGACTGTTGGTAAATGTTACTGTTAACAGCTGTTATTTTTCCTATGTATAGTACCACAGGGGTACTATTGTACTTTTACTCTTTTTTATTTTAGTTGCTGTCGCCCTAGTATATATATATTAAAAAAGCTGTGCCGCCAGCAGTATCTTTTGCTCTCAGTTCTCTCTTCTCTTTTCTTCTCTCTCTCTTTTATCTCTTCTTCCATTCTTCTCTCCTGCATAACATGGTATCAGAGCAGGACTATCAGATCTGAAAGGAGAAGTCGAGTGAACAGCTTTTTTCTTCTTCACACCAGATTTCCAGATTTGCCGCCCTCATCTGCTGTTCGACTGATTGAAGATCTCACACACTGAAGTAACTTTTCTCTCTCTCTCTCTCTCTTACCTTTTTTTTCTGGTCATGTGCCAGGGCAGAACCTGTACTAGGTCTGCCGATTGGATGTGAGGTGATCAGCACCTCTTTCTTTCCTTTTTTGTGGGTTTGACTGATCCCTGTGAAACTGTAGGTCGTGAGGACCTTTTGTGTGCTGCAACAGCAGCTTTTATGGTGAACTGAGAGCCAGAAAGTGACCAATACCTCTTGTGTGCTGCAACAGCAGCTTTTATGGTGAACTGAAGATCAGAAAGTGATCAGTACTTGCTGTAACAGCAGTCCTGTTGATGTGTAGGTCAAGAGATGACCCGTATGCACTGTGGCAACACTTGTGTTGAGCTTGTAAGTCAAGAGATGATCTGTTAGTGCTGTAACAGGACCTGTGTTTTTACAAAAGGAGGTGTATTTCTGAATTTTTTTTTTTTTTTCCGTTCCCCCTCAGTGTTGAATTTCTTTAAGGCTGTGTATCCCATTTAAGAGTTGTTTTTGAATCTGAAATCATGAGTGGGGAAGATTCTGCTACATCCGGTGTTTCCTCAATGCTGAATAGAATGAGTGGGGGTGTGGACCTATCATTTCCCATGGCTGTTATTCCTCTTGATGGTTTAAATTATTTAGAATGGTCAAGAGGGATCAAGTTGTACATCACTGCAAGGGGAAAGATAGGTTATATTAATGGGAGAATCAAAGAACCACATTCTGGGAGTGCTGAATATGATAGATGGAACCAGGAAAACAGCATGGTCATGTCTTGACTTTTAATTTCTATGCAACCTCAAATAAGAAGGAATTTCATGTGGGCTGAAACGAAAAATGAGATATGGGAACAAGCAAAATCAACATATTCAGAACTGCGACACTATGCAAAAATCTACCAGCTACAGGCAGAATCGTCTACTTGTAAACAGGGGGAGAGGTGTCTATCTGTGTACTACTCAGACTTGACCTCTGTTTGGAAGGAGTTAGATCATTATCAGAGTGTGGACTGGAAGTGTGACGAAGATGCAAAACTGTACAAAAAACTTGTCTCCCAACAGAGAGTGTTTGCTCTCTCTTACATGGTTTGAACCCTACATATGAATCTATCAGAGTCCGGACCCTAGATAGCAAGGATCTTCCATCAGTTCAGGAAGTTTATGCTCTTGTACAATCAGAAGAAAGTAGAAGGAATTTGATGAACAGTTTTGGAGGAGATGCAGTTGCGTTGGCAGCGAAAGGGAGTGTTACTACCAGTGGGGGAAATACTTCTAAGAAGGGGGATCTTCAGAAAAAGATGGATGACAAAGACAAGTTGTGGTGTACTCATTGCCAGAAGCCCTGACACACCCGAGACACATGCTGGGGTCTTCATGGGAAGCCGAAATGGGCTCAAGATTTGAATAAGAAGCAAGGTTCAGATATGAATAAAAAGTTAGGACAGCAAGGTACAAGAAAACCCACTATGGCAAACATGGCTACTCAGGAGAATCAGCCCCCCATTCATACTGTGACTCAAACACATTTATCTGGATCTGACCCAAGGGAGGATATTATAAATTCCTTCTGTGACCATTTAGAGCTCTATGGTAGAGCAATTCGTCAGATGGATGCTCCTCCCTCAACTTCATTTGCATCTACATCAGGTAACTCTGCCACAACTTTCCATGTTGCGTCTCATAACCCTGACGCTCCCTGGATCATTGATTCTGGAGCGTCAAAACACATGATTGGTACGTCCTCTTACTTTCAAACCTATCACCTTCTTTCTGGAAGAGACAAGGTGAGACTAGCTGATGGATCATACACTACCATAGCTAGTCAAGGAACCATTTCTCTCCCTCTCGGCCTTACCCTCTCCAATGTTTTACATGTTCCGAAATTTCCCATTAATTTGTTCTCTGTTAGTAGTATTACTAATTCCTTAAATTGCTCAGTGACCATTTTCCCTTCTTACTATGTGATCTAGGATCTGACCTCGGGGAGGACGATTGGTAGAGGATGTATGGTTGATGGACTTTACATGCTGGAAAATAAGGCTGGTCTTCAAGTCATAGAGTCTAAGGGTCAATCCTGTAAGAGTCAAGTTTATTTATGGCATTATCGTCTTGGTCATTTATCTTTTGAGTCTTTGAAAGTGGTGTTTCCAGAATTGTTTAAGTCAATGTCCGTTTCAGATTTCTCTTGTCAAACTTGTCAATTGAGTAAACAGTGTAGAACTCATTTTCTTCCAAAAAATAATAAATTTGAATTTCCTTTTCACATTGTTCATTCTGATGTGTGGGGCTCTATTACTTTACCATCTAGGAGTGGCTACAAGTATTTTATTACCATTATTGATGATTATTCTAGATATACATGGGTATATCCCATGTGGACCAGGGATGAAGTACCAAAAATTATCCAAGATTTTCAGTGGATGGTCTTCACCCAATTTCAAATTGAAATCCAAATTTTTCAGTCAGATAATGCCAAAGAGTATTTTCATAGTGATCTCACAGAATTTTTTGCTTCACATTGTTCACTTCACTATAGCTCTTGTGCCCGAACACCACAACAAAATAGTGTTGCAAAAAGAAAGAACCGACACCTCCTTGAAGTGACTCGGGGTTACTACTCCATATGAATGTCCCAAAACGCTTTTGGCTTGAGGCTGTCCTTTATGCTACCTACCTCATCAACAGTATGCCCTCTCGTTGGTTAGAGTGCAAAGCCCCACATCAGCTTCTTTTTCCCAAGGCCCCTCTTCCCATTCCTCCTCGTGTGTTTGGTTGTCGTTGCTTTGTCCAAAATCTGTCACCCACTTGTGGAAAATTGGACTCTCGTGCTATTGCTTGCATATTCCCGGGGTACTCCACTCAAAAGGGATACCATTGTTTTGATCCTGTTTCTCAGAAATTCTATGTTTCCATGGATGTCTCTTTCTTTGAGAGTGAGCCTTTTTTCCCTGTTTCTCCTCAGGGGGAGAGTAGGAATGAGGAGAAACTGGTTCAGCTCCCTCATCTTCCTGATCCTCCTCCTTTTCGTGTCTTCTTTCGTCGTCATAAAGGCCAATCAAATTCAAGAG